TCTCTAGCAAGCATATCATTGCTAGCACCACTCTGGTAGCCGCCACTGATGATTAAATCCTCTGCGAGCTAGCAAAAATTTAATGCAACTTGTTAGGCACGTTGGACACCTTACTACTCCCTATACCACCCCATGGCTGGAGTGCAATGTGTTCCAGCAAAAATAGTGCACATCTTTATCAAATTTGGTGCATCCTGCTAGTTCGGTACACAGCCTGTGTTGATTCAATAATATTTTAACTCAAGTAATGTATGATTTCCTTCCTTTCGAATCAAGGGGGTAATGCTGGCGTATATAAATTTTTTTTGGGGGGGGGTAAAAGGTAAAAAAGTTCCCTGACCCCTGTTGTAAATAGATATCTACTTGTCTTCTTTTGATGATAAATTTGACTGTAACTTCTTCAAAATGGGAAATGAAGTGGTTTAATCTCTTCTACTGCAGGAAAAAGAGGGGCAGAAAGGTGAGAGGCAAAGGCTTGCTGAGGTGCATGGAACTGTGGTTTCCTCTTACACCACAATCTTGCCCCTGCATCCTATCCCCAGTCATTCATGGGTAATATGGGATAAAATTAACAATGTTTTATGGGCAGTACGTAATGATTTTGGAGGCAATGTCTGAACTTTTACTTGAACTTTGACATTTTTTTCAGTGACTGATGCTAAGCATCCACATGTTGGACTATGGTTTAAAAAGTGCAGCACATTTCAGGCCTGTGTGTTATAGTCCTCTAGGTGCTTTAATAAACCTCCTTCCCCTGGATTTACAGCCTCAAATAGGCAGTAAAGGAAGACTTCTCAGGCAACATACATGGCTGGTGAGCTATTTCTGACTCAGAGCTTGGAAATTTTTTTAAGACTACAACTTCCAAAATTCCAAAACAGCAGGCCATGTTGGCAGAGGAGTTTTGTGAGTTGTCTTCTGGTTTGGCTGTGGAAGTTGTTCATTATGCTGGCTTGGTCGTATCTTGTTTATTGCATAGCTGTGTCTTGTGTTTAGGATATATATACCTACTGCATATTGTGTCATGTTGTGTCATGCATGGGTACTTTATAGCCATCTCTTGTTTAAAGAGAGAACCCGTGCCACACATTTTATTTTATAAATATATCCCTAGCTTCAGCCAACTTAAGATTTATTCACGTAGTGCCAAAAAGGTGCTGCAGAAGTTCTGGATCTATTTTGAAAATATATGCCTGTATAAGGACAGCTAAGAAGCCAAAGTGAGATGGAGAAGCTGCATATGACTCCTGCAATAAAATATTGGCTGGCATCCTGCTGCAGATTGATGTGTGTGTAAGAGATTCTTAGTGGCAAATTGGCATTCAATAACAAAAATGCTGATTGTTTTCTCAGCTGCACATGCAGTACATGCCCATGAGCACAGCCAGCACCTCGTTAATATGAGCCAGCAGTGTGATGTGGCTACAAAAAAAGACAAATGCTCTTTTAGGGTGAATTAACAGAAGTATAGTTTCCAAATCCCTTGAGGTGCTAGTTCCCCTTTATTTGGCATTGGTTAGGCCTCATCTTGAGTATTGTGTCGAGTTCTGGGCACCGCATTTCAAGAAGGATGCTGACAAATTGGAAGAAATTCAGAGGAGGGCGACAAGGATGATCAGGGGCCTGGAAGCCAAGCCCTGCGAGGAAAGATTGAAAGAACTGGACCTGTTTAGTTTTGAGAAAAGAAGACTGAGGGGAAGATAAGATTTGTTGTTTGTTGTTTAGTCATTAAGTCATGTCCGACTCTTTGTGACCTCATGGACCAGAGCATGCCAGGCCCTCCTGTCTTCCACTGCCTCCCCGAGTTTGGTCAAATTCATGTTGGTAGCTTCAATGACATTTGACCAACCATCTCGTCCTCTGTTGTCCCCTTCTCCTCTCTTCACTCTTTTCCCTCTTCAAATACTTGAAGTGGTCATACAAATGAGAGGCAAGATCTGTTCTCAATCATCCCAGAGTGCAGAACGTGCAACAATGGGCTCAAGTTACAGAAAGCCACATTTTAGCTGAATATTAGGAAAAATGTCCTAACTGTCAGAGCAGTATAGTAATGGAACCAATTATCTTGAGGGGTGGTGCGTGCTTCAACTCTTGGAGGCATTTAAGAGAAATTTAGACATATATCCTTTGATTGTATTCCTGCATTGAGCCGGGCGTTGGACTTGATGGCCTTATAGGCCTCTTCCAACTTCGTGATTCTGTGATTAATGAGCAGCAGTTTGCCATCAAGACCTATGTGACTGCTCTTCTGTAAGCATGAATTGACATCAGGATTCTGACTGTTATGTCTGCAGAAGTGTGGGTAGACATGTTTAGCATTGTCGCTGAAGCATGGCAAGTGAAGGTTGTCCATGCATGATTTTCTCAATGTGTCTGGAACTCCAGCAGCATTTGTAAATAACCATTCCTTCTTGGGATAGGAAAGTGGGTACTGAAAAATTCTTCTGCTATAATAACCTAGTGGTCACCAGCTTTGAGTCTCCAGATATTCTTAGACTAAGATTCCCTGAGGCTTTCAGTACTAGTTGTGCTGACCAGGATTTCTGGGAGTTGTAGTTCAAAAACATCTGAGGACCCAAGGTTGGGAACCACTGCTATAACCCGATAATGTTAGTGCTGTGGCTGGGTTAAATCTACCTCAGTTTATTGCAAGGAGAGAAAAGCATGAGCAAAGCTAATAGTCTTTCCCTTTGCATTTCTTCATGGTCTCTTAGGTTTTGTGAAAGAAATAAATTATCTAATGGGTGAAAACTCCTTCAAAGCTTGAGAGTACAAGTGTTCACTCAGGCATGCTTGGAAAAACATTTTGTTTTCTGCATCCCGTGCCAAAGGGCTATTGGTGGTGGTAAGGACAAGGTTGCTAACAGTATTTCTTCTTGCTGGCCCTGAAGCCATTCATAGAGTAGATACTTTTCTCTGCTGGTGGTACAAAAGAACTTTAGAATTAAGAAGTTTTAATAAAATGGCCTATTATTGCCATTTAATAATGTTGCCCTATCCAAGATCCATAGGTTAGGAAACATTACTTGCATGCTTTATGGCTGAAATCCACATCATACAGTACCTTCACTGTTGTCTCCTGCCAGGAGCTGTGGAAAAACTGTGTTAAATATACTGTGAAGTTGAGAATGATGTTGTGCATATGTTGATTCCTTTAAAAAATTTTAAATTATCTTTTCACAATGGTAGATTACATAATTTCACATGTACAAGGGTCTAAGATTCAGTGTGTGGGTGTCTCCAGATAAGACAGGGAAAGATCGAAAAGTTGCTGAATTCCAGTTGGGAGGGGTTGCCAAAACAAAGTCTGCAGGCTGAGGTGTAAGTTTTACTGATTTAGACATTTCCCTACCAATGTAAAAAACACAGCTCAGTTCTCTGTGTGACTACTCAGAAGTAGTTCGCAGTGTAGCAATATTCTCAAGTGTTCCCACACTGCAAAGCACTTCTCAGCTCTTTGCAGCAAATTCCCAGGCTGTACACCAGTACCTAGTATAAAGGTAGATTTA